GCTCAAGGCTAGTCTGGGTTATATAACAAGACTCTGTCTTGATAAACAAATGAATAAATAAGTAAGCAATCTTCACTTTGGGGGCCAGTCAGACCTGGGTTCAGATCCTGAGCCTGACATACCTCTTTGACCTTGGGTAATCATTTACCTTCCTTCAGCCTTAATTTTATTACCTGTTAAGTGGGCTAAGAGCTTGTTCTAATAGGATTATAGTGACGCATAAGCAAAATAATGAATTATTTATGAATTTTTTTATAGATGGGCCTTATTCCAAAAATGAATTCAGCCAACTGCTGTAATGTATGTAAAGTGCCTGGCACATAGTATCGGCTCAATAAAGCACCAATTTCCTTCCGCCGCCCTTCTGTCAGAGTGATCACTTTCAGACTCAAGTCCCCCATCTCAAAGTGATATCATCATTTAAAACGCTGCTGGACCTTCCTTATAAGAAAACTGGCCCAGTTCTTTAGGGTCCCTTCTCATTTTGAATCTAAACAATTTTTAAGAAAGGTAGATCACATTCTGTAAATTGCTCATCCCGTTATTCACAACACAGCTTCAAATTACTTTTGGCCTTTTCCAAAAAAATCAAACCCACCCTCAAAAGTCAAGGATTCACCACTGCTGAGGCTATTAAGAGGAAAATGCTGGAAATCTGAAGCAATTTCAGACAAATGCATTAACTCTTTTGATCCAACATGGCAGATCTGAAAGAAGAGTGCACACACACGCACACACACTAGTCCTTTAAACCAGTCTGTTCCTTGAGACACTTGCACTCAACCTGTCTTGTGAGAAAATCCACCTCACTGCTTCCATCTCCCACTGTGTGGATCTGGTGGTAATAGGAACACAGTCAACTGCCTCTGAGAAGTGCATGTTCCAGTGGAATTCCCAGAGAATAGGAATAGGGACAAGGTGCCTAGAGGAAAATGATGGCCAGAGACAGAGGCTAGAGCAGCTGTTCCTCCTTTTTTAAAAAACAGAAATTTTGCCAGGCATGGTGGTGCACACTTTTAGTCCCAGCACTTGGGAGGCAGATTTTTTGGTCTCTTTGAGACAGGGGTCTCCCTGTAGCCCCAACTGTCCTGGAACTCACTCTGTAGACCAGGCTGGCCTCGAACTCACAGAGATCCACCTGCTTCTGCCTCCCAAGTGCTGGGATTAAAGGCGTGCACCACCACGCCCAGCTAAAATTTTTTATTTTTATGTGTATGAGTGTATTGTTTGAATGTAAGTGCACCCATGTCATGTAATGCCTACAGAGGCCAGAATAGGGTGCTGGATCCCCTGGAACAGGAGTTATAGGTGGTTGTTAGCCTCCGTGTAGGTGCTGGTAACCAAACCTGGGTCTTCTGCAAGAGTAGCCAGTGTTCTTAACCACTGAGCCATCTCTCTAGCTCATTTTTTGATTTTCGAAATAGGATCTCATTATGTAGTCTTGACTGGCCTAGAACCCATTATATAAGCCAAGCTGGCCTTTGAACTCAAAGATTCTTGTTTCTGCCTCCCAAGTGCTGGGATTAAAGGTGTGTACCACCATGCCCAGCCTTTTTATGTGTTTTGTATTTTTTTAATTTATTATTTTTTAAATTTTATGTGAGTGTTTTGCCTGCATGTATGCATGTGAATCAGGTGAGCAGTGCCCATCAAGGTGAGAAGATAGCAACAGATCCACTGAAACTGGAGCTACAGATGGTTGTTAGCTGCCATGTGAGTGCTGAGAATAGAGCCTGGGTCTTCTGCACAAGAGCAGCCAATGCTTTTAACCACTGAGCCATCTCTCTTGCCTGATGTTTTCTTCTTTCTGCCCCTCCTTTATGCGGATGGTGTAAAAGGAGCCTGGGGATTTGGGACCAGTGATAGGGAACCTCAGGGAGCAGAACGGTGTCTCCTCTGTGCCTGAGCCCATTGTTTTGGTTGATATGTTGCCTAGGCTGGCCTCCAACCCCAGGACTCAAGTGATCTTCTTGCCTCAGTCTCCCAAATAGCCCTAAGCCAACTTCATAACAATGTAATAATAAACATGAAACTCCTGGTAGAGGTCATTGGGCCACTCAGCATGTTCAGCTGACCTCACCTGAGAATGCCCAAGAGCCCACTCCACCCTTCTGGCCATCTTGGGAGCTTGTTTCTCTCTACCTCCTAATTTGGAAGTAGCCACTGTCCTACCTAACCTCCCAGGGGCTGAGGACAGTGAGGTCAAGTAAAGAGACCCTAGAGTCGTCCAGACTGGATTCAAATCCCAGCTCAACTGGGAATGGTGGCACACTCCTGTAATCTCAGCCCTTAGGAAGTGGAGGCCAGAGGATAAGGAGTTCAAGGTCAGCCTTGGCTAGACATTGAGTTTAAGTCTAGCCTGAACTACTAGAGACCCTGTCTAAAATATAAAACAAAATAAACCACTAACAATAATAAAAAAAAATCCCAACTCAGCTTCCTTGGCTCACTCAAGGAGATCCTACTGCCTCTAACCCCCAAGCCTCAACTCCCTTTCCTAAGAAAGAGATATAAGAGCTACTTGGGGTTAATTACTTACTCTTTTACCTCCAACTCATAAACATGGGATCAAAGGTGTGGAAAACCATGCTTAGATACATTGTATTAGTTATTCTTATCTGTAACAAAATACCTGGAGGAAACTGAAGGGAAGAAGAGTTTATTCTGGCTCAAGTTTAAGCAGGGATATAGTCCCTTATGGTGGGAAGGCATGGGTGCAGGAACAAAATGTGACTGGTTACACTGCATTTGCAGTCAGGAAGCGGAGAGAGACTCAATTAGCTTTCTCCTTTTTCTCTTTTGAATCTGGGATTCCAGCCCATAGGATGATAGCATCCACATTCAGGGTGGGTCTTCCCTCCCTCTCTAAAAATACCCTTACAGTCTGCCCAGGAGTGTATCGCTTAGGTGATTCCAAATTCAGTCAAGTTGACAATGAAGATGAACCTCAAATACAGATTTTTAAAAAACAGCAGGATATAATGGCACTCACCTTTCATCCTAGCTACTGGGAGACAGAGGCAGGCAAATCTCTGTGAATTCCAGGTTAGCTAGAGCTACACAGTGAGACCCTGACTAAAAACAAAATAACAAAAAAAGCAACAAACAAAAACAAAACTGTTCATATGAAAGGAAGTATGATGTTGGTCCCCCAAAGATGGCAGCCAAGGGCCAGCAAGATGGCTCAGCACATAAAAGCATTTGCTGGGCAGGCTTTGTGACCTGCATTTGATCCCTGGAAAACATAGTGGAAGGAGAGAACTGACTCCTGAAAATTGTCCTCAGACTTTCACACACTTGCCTCTCTCTCTCTCTCTCTCTCTCTCTCGCTCTCGCTCTCGCTCTCTCTCTCTGAAATAATAATAATAATAAATTAAGTAAAATCAATTTTTTTAGGGGATGGAGAGATGGCTCAACAGGTAAGAGCACTGGCTGCTCTTGCAGAGGACCCGGGTTTGGTTTCCAGCATCCATATGGCAGCTAACAACCATCCATAACTCCAGTTCCAGGGGATTCAGCACCACCTTCTGGCCTCTACAGGAACTGCATGACACAGATGCACTTGCAGGCAAAACACCCATATACATAAAAAATAAAAATAAAATTTAAAAAATTTGAATAATATTTTTAAAATTATTTATTATTTTTATTTTATGTATACAAGTGTATTGCCTGCATGTATGTGAGTGCACCCGTGTCATGCAATGCCGCAGAGGTCAGAAGAGGGCTTTGGATTCCCCTGGAACTGAAGCTAAAGACGGTCCATAGCTGCCATATGGGTGCTGGGAATCGAACCCAGGTCCTCTGCAAGAGCAGTCAGTGCTCTCAACCACTGAGACATCTCTCCAGCCCCTGAATAATAATTTTTTTAAAAGGGCCAGCAAGATGGCTCAGCAGGTAAAGGCACGCTCTGTATAAGCCTGATGATGTGAGTTCAATCCTTGGAACTTACATAAAGATGGAAAGAGAACCAACTCCACAAAGTTATCCTGTGACCTCCATATGTGCCATGTAGCATGTACCCCCACCACCTCCAGCATCATACACACACATACACACACATACACACACACTAATAGTATAAATTTAAAAAACATGGCAGTCAATATTCCCTAGGCCCTGGGGGGCAGGCCCCCACATGTGGAGCATGTGGCTTTCATGCTCTCAAGGGAAGCCTGGGACTTACTTCAAGCCTACAGGAATAGAGAGAGCCCCCTCAATCTCCAGAGCAACTGAGTTCTCACCGTGAAGGTAGGTGACAGAACAGATCATCAGCAACTAGGAGAGCCTAGAATTGTCTCTGAGGGGTCTAGAGCTTTGGCCCTCCCTCACTCTCCCTTCTGCAGGTTCATTTCATGGGTGAGGGGCTCTTGTTGCTGGAGGGCCCACCTTCAGGAAGGTAGCAAAGCTCAAGGGTACATCTGGTCCTCAGCACTGAAGGATTCCTCTGCATGCATACCTCTCGGATGGCTTGCTTACAGTCAGTTCAAGACAAGCAAGTCCTTATCCTCCTGCTAATTGGTTCAAACTGATTGGCCTTACAAGTGGGTCTAATGTATAACTGGTAGGAGTTGGCCTGTATGCCAAGCAATCCATGCACTTAACTAGCTGTCGCTCAAGCAACTGAACAAGGCACATTAACCGGAATTTCTCAGAATGCCTTCTGATAGGCTATAGAGCCGCCATCTCCATCACTGGGCTAAAACATTTGCTGGGTCAACAGTCCTGTTTAAAGGTCCTGGGTTCTATGAGGCGGGTGGAGATAACATTAGGGTAGATTCCTTGGGGAAGCAGAGGGAGTGCTGAGCCCTTGACAAGAGTCCCTGAGCCTGCGTTGGGTCAGTCAGCCTTCAGAAAGATGGGCTGGGTGCCAGCCCCGACAGAGGGGTAACAAGGCAATTTTCCCTGTACTCTTATGATCTGGCTTTCACTTGCCTTTTGCTCTGTGTTCCCCCTCAGACATTTCCCAGGAAAGCTGTAGTCCGCCTCACTGAACTCACCACTGAGGCTGGATCGTCTGTCCCTCCAATTGGGAGATGATGTTCAGCCTCATTGCCATGTCTGAAATGGAAAGCGGTAAAGACAACAGGCACCAGGACATGCCGGAAACCTTGCCAGAGTATGGGGAACAGTGGCTCTCCCCAGTGTCCCCCTAGGGAGGCTGGCTGCTGGCCAGGATTGCCTCCCGGCCCCCCAGGGGGACCACCAGCCACCCCCAACTTTTCTCTGCTCTATTAATAACCCTCAACTGAGCTTCTTCCAAGCCCCCTCCTCAGGGCTCTTCCGTGCTTTGCCTTATCAGTCTTGCTTTTCACAAGCACTTAAATTCATGAGAAAAAGGAAAAAGTGAAATCAGATAGAAATGCAGGTCTGTTTGCTGTTTTCTCCAATGAAATGGTTCTGAGTAAACAGCAGACGCCTTTGATGAAATCCCAGCAGGCTTAAACAATAAAGCTTGTTACAAACTCAATCTGGTGGAGATATCAGATCTGAAATTGTTTCAAAAAACATGTCAACATTTTCTAATGCTTTTGAAAAAAAAAATAAAAAACCCCACAAAATCTTTTTGGCTGCCCACTATGGAGTTTGGGTCAAAAAGACAGAACAGTGGCCACCCCAAGTTTTGGTCTTTACTCAGGACCCCAGGAGAACAGGAGCAGGCTATTTCTGGCTGGGCTCTGCCAGCTGCAGGAATGCAATAGATCACTGTTTTAGGCATTACCCCAACCAGTTACCATCCTCCTTTAAATGCATGACTGTAATCTGGTCTCCTGTGCTAGCCTTAACTCCCTACCTTCCTTTCTCTACCCAGCTGCCAGCCAGAAGCTTTTAAACAGGTAAATCAGATGGTCATTCCTTTTTTTAAAACCTCCAATGCCATCACCCAGCACTTAGAATAAAATCCAAACTCCTCTCTCAGTCTACCAGATCCTTACGGACCTGCCCCTGCCTACTTCTCCCTTTCCCTCACTACCTTCAACCTCTTTGGCCCTTCTTCCCAATCCTGCCTCTGGGCTTTTGCACTTGCTATAGAACCTGTCAGGGATGGGACTGTTAGATGGCTAACAACTGTCCATAACTTCAGTTCAAGGGGATCTAACGCTCTCTTTTGACCTCCTCTGGCACTACATGACACAGGTACACCTATCTACATGCAAGCAATACACTCATACACATAAAATAAAAATAATATCTAAAAACAACAACAACAAAAAAAAAACAAAAACCTGTCAGGGATGATTTTATCCCAACCCATGGCCAGCCATCAGATCCCTGAGCACCTTAGCTAATGTCCTTTTCCCAGCCAAGCACAGTATTGCATTACAGTTTTTTTCTCTACACTAAATTCAACCACTAGTGAAATCATCTTTTTGTGTTTAGTTATTAACTGTCTCTTTCAGAATACAATCTGTCTACAACCTGGATTATATGTCTCCAGGCTGGCAGCCCATGCCTGGCACACAGTAGGAGTTGAGAAATTGTTGTGTAAATGAAGAAGCATCAAGGATGTCATGGTTCCTCTAGATATCCTCTAGGCTAGCCAGTCTCAGCTGGAGGCCTAGAGAATCTCACCACGTTTCTAGAAAGGTCTCTTTGGCTGTCCCTGTCCCACCCAAAGTCCACCAGGCCTTGGAGGTCAGAGCATGCCTGCAGACACTCAGGCATTAGCCAGGGCTGGGGCTTCTCACTCCCTTTACCCACCTCTAACAACATACACTTGGCCTCTTGAAGGGTATTGAGAAGGGATGAGCCAGTGGAGCTGCCTCCCAGGCCTTCTTGAAAGCGAGGGTGCCCTCCGGTAGGCTCTCAGACCTGGTGCCTAAGGGCGGACAGCAAAGCCCCACCCCCAGGGCACAGGATGTTCCACACCCCACCCGGCCCCAGGCCCCAATCGATCCTTGCCTTCCTGGCCTGATTACCACGTTGAGCAGCCTGGGCTGGCAGAGGAGCCAGACGGCTGCGGAGGGGGCGGGGCGGCCTCCTTGGCTCCCTGGCCCGGATTAAATATTTACTATGTTTTGTTTGGCCTTTGGGGGAGGGGCAGGGAGGGCTGTTGCACTGATCAGTTGCTGCCAGGCTAGGCCCAGGCACCGACCAGGGGCAAGGGTTGTGCCCAGGCTCAGAGCAAGCTGCTGGCCACTCTGGGGAGGGTCTCCCTTTCCAGAGCCGCTGGCCTGATGACAGATCTGGGTTGCGCCGAGCTGCTAGGGCCCCCAGAGCCAGCGCTGGAATCCGAATCTGTTCCCTCCACTCCCTGAGCACAAGTACAGAGTGGACTCCGATACCCACCGGGTCTCGGATCCCGTGCCCCCCTTCCCAGTTCCCCACCTTGCTCAGGACTCACTAAGCTAAGCTGTTGGGATCTTCATGGGCAGCCAGGAGGGCACTACCCTCCCCATTTTACATGATCTAGACTGGGAACTAAGACTTGCTCCTAAGCCTCTAAGGACCTGGTCACCAAGGTTGCCCTGGCACTTTCCTACCCAAGGCAGCACTGTGAGATTGCCCTGGTGCACTCTGCCCCACCAGGCCTGGTTCACAGCAGAGAAATGGAAGAGGGAGTGTTCTCTTTCCCACAGGGCTCTGTGAGCACTCTAAAAAACACCTGCTGATGTGTACTCAAAAAGGATCCCAGGGGCCCTTTACACATGAGCTCTCCCTCACACATGCCAATTCCTAGTCATCCAGTTAACAGCCAGCACAGGAAGGCCACAGCAACCAAGCCTCTACCCTCATGGAATATGCCATTGAACCACAAGACCCTTCCTTTTCCTGTCCTCTGTGAGCACCAAGCTCGGCAGCATCATTAAGCATGTTAGAGTATCAATAAGCCCCATAATTGAACTGGTCCAGACTATAAAAAAAACGTCTAGCCTATCTGTTGGAGGACCCACTTTTCCAATCTCATTGGTCAATTACCTGGTGATAGAACCACTCCCAGGAAGACAGGTTCACCTTAAGTTATGCTAAATAGATGGGCAGAATACCTGGTGTGTTAGTTAATAAGGTAGTGAATATTTCCTGCCTGGAACTAGCTCAGATCCCCGCAGAACTTCCAGACCAGCCACAGTCATGTAGGTCTAAGTCTGTCCACTTTCCTTCCCTGAATTCTTCAGGAAAGCATAATTTCTCCCTTTCTTCTTCGTGCCTTTCTTACTAAACATGTTTTCTTTAAGACTTTGGGCTGCCCCTAGCAGCTTGTATTTCTTCACTTTTTCTCTAAAGCTTCCTTCTCCCAGCCATGTGGCTCCGAGTCAGCCACGTGTCTGACCTCCATGCAGGCTCTAAACCTGCATGGCTCCATGGCTTTCTTTCCTTCCCACTATTCACCTCCTCAAGGCAGCTGCCAAGATTACCAGCTCACCTGCTCTGAGGATTTTTCTTTTAAGATTCTAATAAAATTGTAAAAGCTTCAGAGAGAGAGAGAG